AGCTGCCAGTTTTTGCTTTTCCCCAGGGAAGTCGATGCAGCTGTGCAGTCAATCACAGTTGAGCTTTGAATACCTTTCCAGCTGTCCCCAGCTCCGTTGCTTGCGTTTGGTTTCCAGGTTCTTAGTTTAGTTCCCTTTCCAGTTCTTTTACTTTCATCGTGATACCCACCCAGGTAGAGCAGAGAGCAGCTAAAGGGGTGGTGAATGAGAGCCCCGGGAGTCATGCCACATCAAAGCCCAGGCCAGTGTGGTCTCCCTGTCCCTCTCCAGAATCTGGGCTGTCAAGAGCCTTGATGCCACTTACGTCTGAGAGCTCTTCTCTTCTCCATACCCACCTCGGTTGGTTTCTGAGGCAAAGTGCTTACATTGTTGAAATTGTTGTTGGTTTCACCTTCCTCCTCCTGCTATCCTATTTGTGTGTCTCAAGAGAAAATAATTTGCTTTTTACAGAAGACCGCCAGTGGCTATTTTCCTTTTCTGGTGCTTAGCTCTCACACATGCCTGAAATCTCACAAGTCCTGCTGTGGTATAACCTGGGCATACAGGTGTTGCTTCATTGATTGGCATATGAGGAAATGTGAGCGAATCTGTGTTTAATGTGCATCTAGCTGACCAGACCGGGTTCTGTGGCATCAGCAGAGGGAATGTACATTCCACCAGACTCATGCTAGGCCAAAGTAGCCTGTGCCCAGAGTAGCAGATAGATTCCATCCTTCATGTCAGCTTCCGTCAACCACTCAAGGGCTGTGTGAAAAAGGATTCTGAGGCCACCCGTGTGATGGATGGGTGATGTCCATCACTCTCATAGGAAGGGGGTGAGGAAGTCCTGGCATGACTCTTTCTTTAGTGATTTCTGCCCATTGCTTCATGCTCTTATGGCACATATGAGAGCACCCACAAGACTAAGGAAATTTTAAGTAAATCAGGTTTTATTTACATAGTAGAAGCCGAGTCCCTCTGTTTGCAGAGGATTGGAGAATAGGGGTCTTCACAGCTCTAATCTATACCTTGACCCCAGGTACAGGATCCTGCTGGTCAAAGTGCTGTGCATCAGTTTTTTTCCAGGCCTGGTAATGTGCAAAGGAGAATGGTCGTGATGTATGATATACTGATTAGAGTACTCCCAGGGCCCCTCTTTTGAATGGCATTATTAAGCATTTCCCAGTGCCGCACAGATCTTTATCTAGTGTATTAGTGCATTATATGTTCACAATGGATGCACAGCATGGGCCAGAAAAGCCACACTACAGAACTGTACATAATATGGATGTTTTTATTTTAACCTGAATGCTCAGAACTTTTCTTCATGGCAAGGAGCCTGAAGTCACACTCAGTACAACTCATAGCATCTTCTGACCCCTTTCATCAGGAAATGGTTAGTCTGACCACCTCAAGTTGGAGGAAGAAGACCACAAGTTCTTAAACAAATATTTTCATTGAAATTTAACTCTTAATGACTTGAGCCTGCATTTCCTGATTTATTTCCTTTTCTTCATGTTTGTCAACAAAGTCAAGAGGGTAAGCAAGATCCGTGCAGAAACATTTCTTACGCAAAACTGCAAGCACATGAAGGGGTAATAGAGGTGTCCTTTCTAGAAAAGAGAATTGTTTTCTCCAAAACGATTCTGATTGAGTTTGGGGTTTCTGCATTTAATCATGTAACACATAACTTACTGAGCACCTACTGTGTTTCAGGCACTGTTCTGGGCACTGGGGATGCGATAATGAAACAAAAGCTGAAAAATAATCACTGCCTCCAAGGAGCTTACTATTTGTTTCCTTCCATTATTTCATAGAATTATATAAAAGCCATTAAGCATTTATTACAGTGGTAATAATTTTTTTAGTAGATTTTTTTCTTTTTGGGTAGTTGTGAGTTACATTTTATTTAGGGCAAAATGAAGCCTGCAGCCCTGGAGGCAGCACCTTAGATAGCTCTGAGAGACTGGTCGCAGTAGATTCTTGGAAGATTTTTTTTTCTTAGTTTGGTTAGATGTAGGGTTCTGTTTTCAGTAGGTTTCTGATGTAGGGTTTTGTTCTGATGGAATTGACAGAGTAGTTTGTAGTGAGAGTTCTCAGTGGTTTTAGATTATTTACTCTGTCACAGGAATGAACTTCTTGAGGAAAAAACAGCACTTTGTGTCAGTTTTTTAAATTGCCTTTTTCGCCCCAGCATACCTGTTCTCCTAAGGAAGGCGTTCTAGATTGCAGTGTTAATCACGTGCATATAATGAAAACAGTTCTTATACTGTTTCAAAGATAGAGCTATGAATTCTTGCTTCTTCATAAATCAGGATTTCTCAAGCTTCATGCATTCACATTTGGAACCAGGTAATTCTTTGTTGTTAGAGGTGGTCCTTTTCGCCGAGGAGGCTTTGCAGTACCCTTGGTCTCCTGCCACTGGATACCAGCAGTCCTCCTTACCCTCAAGTTGTGCAGCCAGACATGTCCCTTGGTCATTGGGCCACAAAGTCACCCGCAGCTGAGAACCACTGGCATAAATGATGTGATTCTGTGATTCAGGTCACATGTCCTCTAATTATAGCAGATCAGTGGAATCCCTGAGAAAAGCACCTAGGACAAGCAGTATTTTCTGTTGGCCTTTTTATAAGCTCAGGGCAAGATTCCACCATGAAAGAGTTAATATGAAGTGAGCAAGATATTTACCAGTCTTGTGAAATAACACCAACAACAAATGATGAAAATCCTTCAGCCAATCATGCCTTGGAGACACTTCGCATTTCCTATTGAAACTTGTTAAAAATCATATTCATTTACCATAAGTTAGAAAGCATGTTGGACAGAGTACACTGTAAGTTAATCTGGAATGATTTACGCGTAAATGTGTTCCAGATTTGGTGAGCTCAGCTCGAGCAGCAGGCGGCTTGTTTCCAAACATTTCCATTCTCAGGAACTGACATTCAGTTCAATAAGTATTTACTGAAACATGTAATGTGCGAGAGCCTTAAACAGTCTGACATTGCTTCCATGACCCCAGCCGGCAGGAGAGCAGTGCTCAGAAAAGTGCCCCCCAGAGTCTGATGTGGCACCCCCGTTTTGGTTTGCAAGATGTAGAGAGACACTAGCCCTATCCTTGCTCTTCACCGCCTCGTGTCCCTTCTCGTCCTGTACCAGTTGTACTCTCCCCGGCGGATACGTGTAGTTGCACATGATGCCATGGGTTTCTTACTTGGTTCTTTGGTCCCAAATGGACCACTTTTCAGAGCTTTGGCAGGGACATCCACTGCATTTTCTACCTCCCCGCTGTCAGCTGGACAGGGTGTCACAGGGTATTGCGGTCCAAAGTGGCGACATTTAACCAACTCACCTTCCATTTGTGAATCTTCACTTCTCACACATGCCAGTAGATTCTGAAACACAGGGCACGCTGCTGATAAACGTTGCTGGAAGACGGGTTGGCTTTGAGGCAGAAAGGATAAAAGAGAGAGTGGGTTAGAGAATTTCCACTCATTCAATTGCTCTTTATTGAGCACCCACTATGCACCAGCCACTGGCAATATAGCAATGACAAAAATGGACAGGGCCCTGCTTTCCTGGAATTCACAGTCTGTTGGGCAATGAGACAGGTGGACAGGCCATGTTTTCATCTGGCGCAATAGATGCTGTAATGAGAGAAACCAAGATGCCTTACGAGCACTGAGGACGAGCAGCACCCCAGCCTGGGGGATGGCGGGGAATCAGAGAAGGCTTTGCAGAGGAAGTGGTGTCTTAACTGAGACATGAAGATTATATTGTGTATCATAGAGGGAGAGGAAGGGACTTACTTCCCCGGTGGTGCAGTGGTTAAGACTTCACCTTGCAATGCGGGGAGTGTGGACTCAGTCCCCGGTCAGGAAGCTAAGATCCCACATGTCTCCCAAGGCCAAAAAACCAAAACAGAAAACAGAAACAATACTGTAACAAATAAAGACTTTTTTTTAATGGTCCATATCAAAAAGAGAGAGAGAGTAGAGAACAAAGGGATTCAAAGCCATGTTCCAAGGAGGAAAGGTGAGTGGGAAGAATAGAATCTTAAGCACTGAGAAGTTAGGCATGTTTGGATGATAGAGCGAGAGACAGGAGGACTGAGAAGTAAGTGAAGAGGAGCCAGTGACGGACGAGCTTCAGGAAGACTCTTACGAGAACACGTGGGTCTTGGCTGATGCCCTTTACTAAGACCAGTAGGTTTGGTTGGAAGGAGGATGGGGTGACAGTGACTCATGTTTTAATTCACCACTCATTCTAGAACATGGGAATGAGCTTTTAAGTGTTTCTGAAAGATGTCAAAAGCTAATGGAAATTTTAAAAGTTAATTAGCCTGTTTAAATGATTTTGTGACTGTAGGCTATCATGACATCCGGCAGATACGCTCAGACCTCTTAGTTTCTGCCAACTGTATTTTTTTCATCCAGTGATTATTTCTTAATTTTGATACTTATCATCTTATTGCTTAAAATTTACCAAATGTGTGTCTGTGAATGAGTACCCATGAATGAAGAAGTACAGTGAGCTGTTTAAGGGCTATATTCTGGCTTTTCCAACACTCCTGTATTCTCTTTAGATTTCCTTTGCTGTGATGGAGGTTTTTATTCTAATGTTTTATTCTAATACTGCACAGACTCATTTTTGAGAGCATACACTATTTTTTAAGGTGACTAGAGAAAAGCAAGTTATATTATTGGACAGTCTTTAGACAGGTATCTGATATTACAGGATTGTAAGGGTGCAGACCTCATGTGAGGGCAAATACTGCATGGTGAACATCATGCTCTGTGTTGATTCCATTGCCCAGAGCATGTGAGGAATAAATGTGGTCAATTAAGGGCACTGAGATTGCTTCCAACCATCAACCCCAGCCACTGCTTTCCATGGCCCTCTAGGCCTGAAATACCTTGTGGCGGGCTTTGTATGATTCCCCTTTATAGTCAAGCAACCCAGCCACTAGGGAGCATCCAAGTTCACGTGCCTCTTTCTGTTTGTTTTCAACAGGAATTTAGATAATGGGCTGTGTGCAATGTAAGGATAAAGAAGCAACAAAACTGACGGAGGAGAGGGATGGCAGTCTGAACCAGAGCTCCGGGTACCGCTATGGTACAGACCCCACTCCCCAGCACTACCCCAGCTTCGGCGTGACCTCCATCCCGAACTACAACAACTTCCACGGGGCCGGGGGCCAAGGACTCACCGTCTTTGGGGGTGTGAACTCTTCGTCTCATACTGGGACCTTGCGAACGAGAGGAGGCACAGGTCAGGATGAAGCTGCTCTTAAATCTTCTGGCAATTGAACATTTGTGCTCCTTTGACGTTTAAGTTTTTAATCACTCTCCAGCTCACCACTACCAGATGAAAGGCTCTTAAAATCACTAGAGCTTGATGGACAAGTCTAGATACCGGCAACAGCAGCATGGGGCTCCCCAGCTGCCCTCTGTGAGGACCCTGTGAGGGTTACAAGGCACAACTTTCTGCTGAGTCACTTGAGGCCAGTGGCTCTCAACCTTGGCTGGCTGGCTCAGAATAACTAGACAGCTTTTTCAAAATATAGATACCTGAGCCCCTCCTGCCCCCATCCCAGATCTTTTGAAGCAGAAGTTTCAGGACTGGATATGAGCGTGGATGTTTTGAGTTCTCCAACTATGAAAGCACTCCTTCCCCACAACCCCCAGTTCAGAGTGTTTGCAGGGGAGTACCTGCCCTTTCAGCTTCCTAATTAACCTCCATCCTGCCCGTCACTTCCCAGCTGGTAGGGTCATTTGGCTATATTATTTTTTGGCAATTTGTCTTCACTGATTCTCTCTCTCTAATCCTCCCATTGTCTTCTATATGACAGAGTTTATCAGCCCTCAAGTATCTTCATCTCTTTTGTATTTTAAAATTGAATCTTGTGTATTCTTAAGGGATCTTCTCATTTTCTTTTTAACTTTTCCTGCTCTTTCCCTAGGCTGTGTTTCACTGCTGTGTGCATTTGCTGACTTAGCTAATACTTGGTAAAATATCTGGCGTGTGTTCTCAGACATATGTTTTCTGAAATATTTGTAAGATATCTCATGCATCCTTAGTCTTCCAAAGCCTCTCTCAGTATGTGAACCATGGTAACTAGATATTTGACATAACTTGTTCCAAAACTGTCTTATTTATTGTAAAAGTTTTTAAAATATATATGTATAAAATACATCAATCCTTATGTTCTCAGTTCAGCTGGAAGCAGAGGTCTTATAAAATAGCCCGCTATGACTTTTTATGTGGGGAATTGGCACTTCCAAGGCCTCTCTTCCCTCTGCACCCAACAGGGTGGTGTAATTATATCCAGGGGACCTGACCCAGAGCTTTGGGCAACTAGCTACTTCTTTGCTGCCAACACTTCACACTCTGTTCAGTAGAAAAAATATTGATGCTCATCCTTATGGTGAATGTAGCTCTCCCTGGAGAGCAGGCCTTACATGGGTGACTGGAGGCTGAGCACACTTACTTATCCTCCCAGTCTTCCTGGAAGGCACCTGGAATGGAGGGCTGAAGGAAAGAAGTCATCAGGCAGTCTAGGGCTGTCTGCCTCTGGAGGATGCAGGGGGGAGAAACGAGCCAGAGATGCACCCAGCACACACGCGCCCCGTGCCTGCTGGGAGAAGGCGAGCGCTCTGCTCTCTCTCCCCGGCCTGATGTGGGCTCTCATGGGGGTAAATGTGTGTCAGGTAAAGGGCGTCTTGTCAGTGCTCCAAAGCTCTGCCCATCTGAGCTGTAATGTCGCTCCTTATTGCCCTCGGTTGTGGCCGTGATATAATATTAATATCTGTCTCTTCCTGAAGACTCATTCCAAGTGTGCAGAGAGAACTCCTTCGGCCTTGGGTTTTAGTCAGCTCAGATAATGCTTCCTTTCTCAAAGACGGAGGCATAAATTCAGCTCGCGACTCTGGTTTCACGCATTAATTACAACACTGCCTGATGCTATCAGTGCTGATTAGATGTAAATTTTAAGAATGAGGCTTTAGTGAAGATTTAATTTCTTGGAATTAATTTCCCCTGGTGTAATAATCTCTCCCATTTTGATCTTGTTTTTTGGCAGGAGTGACCCTGTTTGTGGCCCTTTATGACTATGAGGCACGGACAGAAGATGACCTGAGTTTTCACAAAGGAGAAAAATTTCAAATATTGAACAGCTCGTAAGTTTGGAGAGGGAGAAGAAAGCAGGCATGCCTTTCAGGCGGGGAAGTGATTCTTGTGTTAGCAGTCTACACCTTTTTTCGTATCTCTGAAATGCTAAGCGAGCACTTGCTCATCAATTCATTAATTCTTAGCAATTTAACTTGAGGAAAGAAGAGTCGATGAACCAGTGTGGTATTCTATTATGCTGTGTGTCCAGGGAGCTTTTTGGGAGCATAGAAGCAGAGTCAATGGTTTTGGTTTAAAGGCTGTGAAAGCACCAGGATCTCCCTCTACAAATCTTCAGTTTCAGATGATTGGCATGGGGCTTGCCTGTCCACATTACTCTCTCTCTGCCCTGAGATACTCTTCAAATTTCACATGTCACCCTGACCTCATGTAAGGCTGGCAACACATTCCATTTTTCAAAACTGCTAGATATTCTAATTGGTGAAGCCTGTGGAGGCATTTTGCCATAATGAAAATTTGCAATTGACTGAAAGCTTTGTAAGGTGGAAGGAGAACCGATCTGTCCCACTTGAGAATGACTACAGTGCATGCCTTTTCAATGTGGCCAGTAGGAACAGCCCGTTGTGCAGGCAATGGGGAAATGTCAAGAGCGAGAATCACTCATTTTTCAAGTCCTTCATTTAATACTTCCTTTAGGGAGAGTAAAGTATGAGTCAGATTTCCCTTCAGTTTTTAAATATTGTGTCTGTTAGGTTCAGGCAAGGTGCACAGGTCAGGGCCCTCCAGAAAAATTAAGGCTCAGAAGAAAATGATGTCCCATGTGTCTAAGTCAGGCCCCCTCCCCTACTCCTCAAGTTTCCCTCATGAGCGCCCTCTAGTGTCTGGGAAAAATAAGGGCGGAGAGCTGGTTAGGGAGGTCCAGTTAATCTGCCCTCTGCCTTCTGAGCAAACTGGATTGTATGATGGTGGAAGGGCTGGAAGCCTGGCACTTCTCCTTCCCCACAGCCCTGCTCACCCTGCACATCCCAGGAAAGAGGAGTGGTCCTTGGAGCAAGGAACTCCTCCAGGCCCTGAGCATTGCCTCCTTGTAAAGCCCTGCCCTCCCCTCAGATGCCCCCAACTCAGGACCACCTTTCAAGGGCAGGAATGGAATTCATTAGGCCAGTGACTCTTCCACACATCAAAAGGCAGTGTCTCTGTAGTTATAGGATTTTTTTTTTTAATTTATTATTGTCACCATTAGCAGGGTGGTAGATGGCATTTTTTGTTAACTTTTTATTTAAATTACATATGGTCAAGTGCACAAATCACAAGTGTACATGGTGATGCTTGCACAGTAACACCGCTCAACTGGAAAATAGTTCAGGTGGAGCCTTTTTTGTCATGCATATTTTACCACAGATTTTTTAAGATGTACCATTCACAGAATTTTCACAAACCAAACATACCTATGTAATGTGTACCAGGATCAAGCAGAATATTACCTGCCCACCCCACCCCCCAGCCCTCCTCCTGAGTCACAGGGGTTTTTCTTTAACTAGTGAACGGCTGCTATTTATTGAGGGCTCCTAGGTGCCAGCCATGTGCTAAGTTGCAGATGTTCTCATTTGCCCTTGAGAGCAACTGAAGTGTGTCTCGTAGTCATCTTTTGACATAGGAGGAGCCAGAGGCTCAGGTTAGAGAGCTGCCCTGGTACGTGGAGCTAGCAGGTGGCAGAGCCAAGGGTGAGATGTGGGGATGGCATGTTGAGTGCAGCGTCAGGTTTGGGGCTGGAAGAGCCCAAGTCAGAGGAAACGGAACCATTGGAGTTACAGGTTTGACGGGAACTGGGGGAGGGGGCATTTGGCTTTGATCCCTTCTGATTTCTGATTCCTTGTTGTTAATTCGATGCTCAGATGAATGCTTGTCAGAGGCTGCTAACTTCGAACTCTGAAATACCACCCTCCTTCCCCTCCCTGTTTTATTCAGTATTTCCTAAATGCCAAGGTTGCTTAGAACTTTTTCGATTCATTTGTAACTTCTAAAAGGTAAGAATTCAAAAATATAGGAAGTGCCTTAAGTGACTCTCTTAGGTTTCCACCACACTGCACATGGATCTACACATTGGGTTTGCAGGGCACTTGGAAAGCCAGTCATTGCCAAAATCTAACTTGTGACTTCCTCCTTTGTTAAGCTGGGTCAGATCTGGAATGGCTTCTGATTGGAATTTTGGAGAAACATTCAAGGAAGATCCAATCTACCTCAATCTATATTTCGTGATTTGCATGCATGGTCTTTAATGTTTACAGAAGGCATTTGAGGCTCTGACCGTGTTCCCTTAGAAGACAGTGTTACAAAGGATTTTTTTTTCTCCCTTTAATGTTCTTCCTTCTTGCCAGTGGAATTTCTCATCCTAGGAGCCATTTAAATGCCCTTTTTCAAGGTTATGGAGGGTTGGAAACAAAGTTTTTGTAACAAACACAATATCCTGAAGTCAAGGGTAATAACAGGGAAGGAAAAATGGTGAGGCGAAAACAAAGCAGGAGGACAGAACCAGATGGCATGCGTCTCCCTCCCCTTCCCCCAGCCTCTCCTGGGCCCCTGGCTCCCAGCCCTTGTAAGAGAGGGAGGGACTGGGCTGTGTTCTCCCTGGGGCAGCTGCCACACCTCCCAGTGTGGGTCCTCCCACTCCTTTCCCTGTCTGGAGGCGGAAACTGAAGGCCTCAGGGCAGACTTTTGTGTCTTAAGGTGCAGCATAAGCCATGTGATGTGCTTGTGTGGCTCTACCCCTGGCCCAAGCTGGCTGCACTGCTTCCCACCACGGGGAGGAGAGGTCCCTCCCTGACCCCTGTAGGTGCTCAGTGCAGGGTGTTCGGACATTACTAAACTTGATCCATTTTTGAATACATAATTCATCTGTTTTATTCCTGTTTTTGCATTTCATGACTACTACTGTACCAGCAGAAACAGCACCTCTAAAATATAATCAATGTTTTACGGAGTGGAACAGTGCTTATGGCCTCGGGTGCTGTCAATAGTTGTGTCCAACTCTTTGCAACCCCATGAACTGTAGCCCGCCAGGCTCCTGTGTCCATGGAATTTTCCAGGCAAGAATACTGGAGTGGGTTGCCGTTTCCTCCTCCAGGGGATCTTCCCAACCCAGGGATCAAACCCACATCTCCTGCATTGGCAGGCAGATTCTTTATCACTGACCCACCTGAGAAGCCCCCACGGCCTAGGGTAGTGACTCCTTTAAGGTTCTTTTCATTGTAATAAGAAGAAATCTGGTTTAGAGCCCATGTAAGCTTTTGACCAAATTGTTATGGATATGCTCTGTGAGAGTAAGATGGGTGGTGACCAAATTTAGAAAGAATCCAGCATTTATAATAATAATGCGCCAAAGTTCCATAGATCAAGGCTGACTTCTGTTTGCAAATGTCATTTCCTGGCTCCATCAGGGCTCCAGACTCCCAGCTCCTGGGACCATAAGCCCTCTCAGCAGCTCTGGGGAATGGGAAGAGGCTCTTTTAATAAGTATTTAAACTAGAGCAAGTGGGGAAGCTGTGATGGAAACTTCTATTCTAAACCAGAGCCAAGGCTTAAATCATGTATTTGAATCAGAGCAAGATAACAGTTGAAGAAAAATCTCACCAACTCTTAAATTAATGAAATAACTGGACTGTAAGAACTGTTTAAAGAAATGTGACTTTAATAATACTGATTACTCATGGTAACTCAAAGAAAGAAAAAGTAACCTAGTAAAGATCCTGTTTTCCTAAATCAAGCTGAATAATTTGTTTAGAGTATGTTATTTATTTGGAGGTGAATTGGGCTTCCGGTGTATTAAAAAGTGATTTATTCATCTGCTCAGAAGGGTCTTTTTGCTATCTTGAGTCTATACCAGCCTGTCTGGGCACAACATGTGAGTTACTACATTGTGACCTTGTCACCTCCTTTGGTAGAGAAAGTGACCCTAGATGGCCTCGAAAAGAGAAAAGGATTTTATCTTTCTCAGCTTCTCATGAGTAACTGAAAACCTTTGTGAGATTAATGGAGTCATTCAAGAGAAAATCGTGAATTCCTAATACATGACTTTAGAATGATCTGATAGTTGGATTCTAATCAGTGCTAAACTATTTAGGTGCCAAAACCAAAATGAGATAGTTAATGCTCGATTTGAAATGGAAAGAACTTGATCACCTGGATAAGGCTGTGCTTGTCACAACTTGCAGCAAGGTATATTGGTTTCCTGTCCCAGATGACATTTCCATGTACCTGAAAATTGATAGTATCGACTTTTTTTTTTAATTCAAATCAATTAGAACTAATTCAACGAAGGTTATTTTACAGTAAAAAATAAATAAGCCTCTGCTGCAAGTACTTAATATTTTCCTTACCGTTTGGGAGATTTCCCAGGTGTGTGTGCGGTGGGAGGGACAGGGAGACAGAAAGAGAAGAAAGCCTGGAAGTGATATGTACTGTTATTTTCTATAATGAAATGTCTCCATCTAGTGGAAGTTCAGAGCAGTAAATGTGGTCACCATATTAAAATGATAATGGCTCCAAAGCAGTTTCCTTAAACACGTGCAGTGTGCAAAGAAAAAAATAAACTTCCACATATGTTCTTAGATGATGTCCTCACAACTGCACGTATTCCCCTTGACAGATGTAGACATGAAACCAATACAAACTGTTACAATGTTAACATTTGTAATGTCATAATTTGAACCTGAAAGGCAGAGGGACAAGCTCTGGGAGCTACACAGGGTAGATTCCACACAGTCAGTATCAGTCTAGTTCTTGAGTTGGGTGGTGGGTTCACGGGTGTTCATATGTACCTATAGTCTTTGGTAAGCATAAATGACTCCATGAACTAAATTTAAGATTATTAATAAAGGAATTTCTGGGTGAAGCTATCTCCCTCTTTTGATTGATTTGTTTAAATTTAATAGAGTAATGAAAGACTGAAAAACTAATTAGGACATCAGTTTTTTAAAGCCTTTGCCAACACCCTGTTTCCTTGGGAGCTCTTCTGTGTTGCTTGCGCAGCCTGACACTTTCCCGCAGCTGCACCTGCAGCACTGATGGCCTTGTCACCATCTGTCTGCCGTTGTGTAAAATCCTTTCTGGAGTGGCTGCCCATCATCACGTTGCTCAGGGTCAGGCTTTAGAGGATGGGTCACAGAGTGAGGCTTGCGTTTAACATGAGGCTGGTCATCCTCCACCCAACTGCATCCATCTGGGGAGGATCCTGACCAGGGTCCAGAGCCAACGTTTCTCTTCCCTGTCGGAGGGCTTTGACACACAGGTCAGTGAAAAAGTGATTAAAAAAAAAAAAAAAACAGCCTGGAATTGCTCTTTCTGCCTCCAAGGACCTAAAAAGGCAAGAGAGAAGGTGCTGGCCATCTGGTGATCAAAAGTCTGGGCGGCCTCCATCCGCTCGGGGCAGTCGGGTCCTCCCTTGCCCGCCACGCTCTTGACCACAGTCCGGGGGAGGGCGTGTGACACCATCGGTGTCAGAGCTGCAGCCCCACATACACACGGACCTTTGTTGATGGGAGGGAGGCACACACTCCACTCCAACCCACGCTCTCTGTCCCGTGCATCTGTGTGAGCCTTATCATATGAACTCTAACCTTTTCATCTATTCGCTTGTTTCAAGCGGAGTCGTGTTTTAAGTCCCCCTTTCCGTCGTCTGCCCACAGTGCTGAGCGCCCGACAGATGAGGCCGTGCTGTGGCTGAAACATGGGGCTGGAGTGATGAGACTGAGACTCTCATCCTCTTAGCGAGGCCTTTGCCTCCCCCTGCACTGGCACCCACACAGCTGCACCCCCCCTCTTCCTCTCCTGCCCCCCAGGCTCAGGCCAGTGCTGTCAATACTTGATGAAATAACCTCAGAGTGAAAATGTATGAGCAAGTTGTAACCCATTGTAAGCTTTATTTCTCTACCCATTTTCTTGAAAGCTAACAACACAGATATTCAGAGAGCCTGCATCCTTTATTGGGCCTCCTAACAGGCTGCCTTTCTCAAATGATGTCCAACTATGAAGGGCTTCCCAGGTGATACAGTGGTAAAGAATTCACTTGCCAATTCCGGAGACTCAAGAGACACAGGTTCAATCCCTGGGTCGGGAAGATCCCCTGAAGTAGAAAATGGCAACCCACTCCAGTACTCTTGCCTGGATAATCCCATGGACAGAGGAGCTTGGCGGGCTACAGTCCATAGGACCACAAAGAATCAGGCAGGACAGAGCAACTAAACACACAGACACAGATATGCAACTACAGTGTCTGTCTGCTGTCTGTCTCTCCCTTTCTCCCTTTTTTCTTTCTTTCTTTCAAATCATTTACTAGCTGACAAAATAACGTTAAAGCCAGTGGCCTGCATAGAGGTACGAGGACGTTGGGGATGAAGTAGAGACTGTTAGCCAAATTAGCACAATCAGTGCATCCTTTATTTTTCTCCCAGCTTTATTGAGATATAATTGGAAATATGACATTGTGTAAGTTTAAGGTGTACAGTGTGATGGGTTGACACATGTATGTTGTGAAATGTTTACTACAAGAAGGTTGGTTCACACCAATGCCGGAGTGCCAGTGCCGGAGACATAAGCCACAGAGGTTCAATCCCTGCATCAGGAAGATCCTCTGGAGTAGGAAATGGCAACCCACTCCAGCATTCTTGCCTGGAGAGTCCCATGGATCGAGGAGCCCGGTGGGCTACATTCCATAGGGTTGCAAAGAGTCGGACACGACTGAAATAACTTAGCACGCACCAAGCCAGATGCCCTCTTCCCCATCAGTGCCTCCTCATGAAGGGTCCTGCATTCTGAATTCAGAATAAATAAAGCAAGTTCAGTTCAGTTCAGTCGCTCAGTCGTGTCCGACTCTTTGCGACCCCATGAATCGCAGCACGCCATGCCTCCCTGTGCATCACCAACTCCCAGAGTTTACTCAAACTTGTCCATCGAGTCGGTGATGCCATCCAGCCATCTCATCCTCTGTCTCCCCTTCTCCTCCTGCCCCCAATCCCTCCGAGCATCAGGGTCTTTTCCGATGAGTCGACTCTTCGCATGAGGTGGCCAAAGTATTGGAGTTTCAGCTTCAGCATCAGTCCTTCCAATGAACACCCAGGACTGATCTCCTTTAGGATGCACTGGTTGGATCTCCTTGCAGTCCAAGGGACTCTCAAGAGTCTTCTCCAACACCACAGTTCAAAAGCATCAATTTTTCGGCACTCAGCTTTCTTCACAGTCCAGCTCTCACATCCATACATGGCCACTGGAAAAACCATAACCTTGACTAAACAGACCTTTGTTGGCAAAGTAATGTCTCTGCTTTTTAATATGCTATCTAGGTTGGTCATAACTTTCCTTGCAAGGAGTAAGCGTCTTTTAATTTCATGGCAGCAATCACCATCTGCAGTGATTTTGGAGCCCAAAAAAATAAAGTCTGACACGGCTTCCACTGTTTCTCCATCTATTTCCCATGAAGTGATGGGACCAGATGCCATGATCTTAGTTTTCTGAATGTTGAGCTTTAAGCCAATTCTTTCACTCTCCTCTTTCACTTTCATCAAGAGGCTTAATTCCTCTTCACTTTCTGCCATAAGAGGGGTGTCATCTGCATATCTGAGGTTATTGATATTTCTCCCGGCAAATAAAGCAAGAGATGAGAGACAAAGCTGGCCTCCTCTCCCAACTAATGTGGATTGCACCCATTTGACCCTCACAGAAGGCTGTGTGAGAGTTTGGAAAAATCAGGAAGTTGAATGACTAGAAGGTAGTCATGTGCTCCCACTACACCGAGTCTGTGACTGCAAAACACTGAAACGGTCAACATATTCACTTCCTTTTCTCTTTTTTTTTTCCTCCAGGGAAGGAGATTGGTGGGAAGCACGCTCCTTGACAACTGGAGAGACGGGTTACATTCCCAGCAATTATGTGGCTCCAGTTGACTCCATCCAGGCAGAAGAGTACGTATTGCTGTCTTCTCTTAACTTCTTGCTTTTCCAAGTTAGTTGCCCTGATAAATTCATTAACATTGTGCAAAAGGAAGAAGTAATTCCCTAGAGCCATTAAGGGGGGAGCGGATGTGGCGATGCTGTGACGCCCAGGCTCTGTGCCACGGTTTTTGCTACACCTGTGCAATGCTTGTACCCTTATTAACTCAGTTTTTCTTAAAGCCTGCTCACTTTTTTAAAACATTTATTTTAAGAAGAAACTTTATAGTAGCACCTCAAATGAAAACCCAATATTACTTGCCATAGATAGAAATAACCATAAGAACGTGATGAAATTCTACCTAGAGACTGTATTACTGGCCACTCCAGGATCTAAGCCTTCAGTCTGCTGAAGAAAAGCGGGGAGGGGAAGGAAGAAGGGAGGGATGGAGACAGAGAGAAAGGGAGGTGTAGGTAACCATTAAAGATCAATTTGAGATTTTTCTCCTCGGCATATACGGGAGTGTTAAAGGGGTGCTGAGAAGGCATACCATTCACACCCCAGGTAGGAATAACTCACGTGCAGCGCGTCCTGCCACTCAGGAAGCCCTGTGGCGATGCACTTCAAATGGTCCTTTCTTTTGACATGGAGTCTCAGGTGGCTTCTTAGCAAATCATGACTAGCAGTTCGTGCAAGGATTTCACTGAGAGCGGTTTCAGAAGGTGGTCGATGGGCTGAGGGAATATCCTAGAAGGAATGACCACGGTTCCTCCCCCTGGCCTGTGGGGATTCATGGGCATTTCCAAAGCGGAGAGCTGTCACGATGGCTTGTGTGGCGGCCCTCCCCTCTGAACTGAGGGCAAGGGAGGTGGCACAGGATCTCCTGAACGTGGGAGCTGGGCCTTCCCCCACCATCCACCCCACCGCCCCGATACCTAGGGGACCTTCCTTAGCTGCTGGAGGCAGTCCTGACTTTCCAGCAAGGATGCTGAGAAGAGTCGGCCCTGGAGTCCATGCTTCGTCGACTCTTAATATTTTACATGCCCAGTGTTCATGTCAGCACTGCAGGGACAGTTAGACTCCCCTGTGGGTGGCTTGCTTGTCTTCAACTCCCCTGTATCTCCTCTAGGAAGATCTGTTCTGTTTTCCACTCTCAAACACTCGGTGACTCTGAGCTCCTTTTTGCTCTCAGAGAGTGTGTTTCATCATCAGTGAATAAAGGAATCTGCACTGAATCATTATTTTTGGGCAGGTTTGCAAGCATCTCTGTGTTCTTTCAGAATAAAAGATTCCACCAAAAAAAAAAAAAGATGCCACCAAAATATACCATTACTTTGACTGAACTGGGAACCTACCCACAATACGTTTAAGTTACATTTGTAATAGTTTTTTAAAGAATAAAATAACATTTAAAAAATAATGCCCATGGTTTTACATGTGCAGTTAATTATCATTATCTTAAAATACGATTGTCTTAGTACACTCTATTGTTCTAATGGTTCCCTTTTCACCACTGTTCATGTTTACACTGAGTTTTAATTGGGTTATTGATACAAATCTGGAAGATTATTTCCCACAAATCATTGGTGTAGTTCCCTTTATACCCCCAGCACGAGGTTAGGATTGTTGCAGGCTTGTGCCTTTAAAAGTCGCGCAAGAGCTGACATGCAGTGTCTTTTCTTATCTTCAGGGAAGCTCGCTCATTCACAAAAGAACTTGACAGTGAACACATAATAGCTGTGTTCGTGTATAATGAATTGAAATTTCATTTTAGAAACTGGATCCTTTCACAGTCAAACATTCTAAAAATTGTCCCCGTGCACAGATTCCGATGGAGTGCTACCAAGTTCTCCCTGGGGCTCTAGAAGCACCTGCTGCTCACTCAGCACCTAGTGCAGAAGCATTACCCAATTGTCAGGCTGTGCTTAGGGCTGGAGGGTGCAGGGGGAGGTGAAAGATGAAGAAGGAAGGCCAGGAGGCGACTGGACGCGATGCTTCCTAAAGTGGCACGGGAGTGACATGACAGGGAGAGTATGAACACGTCTGCGACACCGAGTCGTTTTTAAGGATGTGCTGGTTGACTGTGCCCAGTAACGTGGCCCTGCCACTGCGCCAGAGGCCGCGTGTGGCAGGTCACAGCCCCACCACTCAGCAGATGCCCTTTACCAGGTCCTTCCCGCTGCTGAACAGGAAGACAAGAGTCACGAGCATTCCAGGGGCAGCAGTCGTCTCAAATTAGGGCTAGTCTTGACCTCTTTCTTTCAGAGTTCCTATAGGTAGGAGGCTACTGAAAATACTGTTTATCCATTCCAATGGACTTCTTTTTTAATGCTCGATTAATGATCTTTATGTACACTAAGACTGCGTTTTGTTTTGCCAAGGGTTGTAATACTGCTCAGAAATCCAGGGTCTTGTAGAAGCTCATGGGCAGGGTGTCCTGCAGTTGCCATTTCAAAACAAGGTCTGGGGTTTTGGCTTTTTCTGCATGCGGGTGATACTTGCAACACACACCCACTGGTTTCCCATCATCTCTGGAAGGAAGAAAAATAACCTGCGATTCAAATCTGATTGTTTTTCAGGTGTGAGAGGGATGGATTAGGGACGGAATCAGGAGTAGATTGAAAGGGAAGTAGATGAAGCTAGGAAAAATACACGGGGGAGGCTAAGGAGGGACTTGGCGGTGAGGAGGAAGCACTGGCCCCGTTCCACTCTGGCAAATGATCATGAGACAGTGTCTCCTTCCCTTGATCTCATTTACAGGTGGTACTTTGGAAAACTCGGCCGGAAAGATGCTGAGCGACAGCTTTTGTCCTTTGGAAACCCACGGGGTACCTTTCTTATCCGTGAGAGTGAAACCACCAAAGGTAAGATAACGAGTTGAAGACGTTGGCTTGTCATTCAAATCTGTGGATTAGTCAGAGGGGATGAAAGGCTTATCTCTAATGTACAAGGATTTTTAAATGGCACATATCCTCTCTGCCTCCTGAGCAGAGTCCTATTTTCAGTTTCCCCTCCAGGCTCTGGAACTGCAGACAGTTCCAAAAAGACTACAGAGGCTCGAAACCAAGACCTTCCTCCCGAAACAGGGGCTGGGCCGCTTCTCCCCTCCAGGCACACAGGATCACAGAATGTTCAGAAGTCCTTTAGAATTAGAATTTTCTGAAACTCTTTGTTCCTCAGGCACCCATCACAGAGGTTGTTTTTTGGGTTGGTTTGTTGTTTTTTTTATTTCTTTTGTTTTTTCCCACAACCATGGACTTCTCTTCCTCTATTTGCTGGCCTTCTTGTTATTTAACTACTCATTAGAGCCCACAAGAGGATCTGGGCCAAGGAAACAGCAGTGGCCTTCTAGCTTGAACAACCAGACTACTGGTTATCTGCTCCTGTGAAAAGTGTTGTGAAGCAAGAATCCGAAGCTCAGTTCTAGAGAAACAGCCCTTAGATTTCTTTCAGTACACGCCACCCCTGACTTGGAGATGCTCTGTGGATAACCCAGACTAGGACAGCAATCTCGACCATGAGCATCTGTGCTTCCCTCATCTTGCCCTGGGGGAGCTGGGTCTACGCCGAGTTCACCAGTACAAGTATACCGAATAGACTTATCGTAGGAAAAAAAAATCCAGGAAGCTTTCATTCCCAACGGTAGAATCATTTTATTACTAATATCTTCTGACGTTAGCAGGAAAAAATTATTTTCTTCCTATGTTGCTGAGTGGATGTGTGTGTATGTGTGTGTGTGGTATCTGCTCTTGATAATTATCAATCAGAATACTCAAGTAAATGAGTCCCCCAAAAAGAAATTGGTATTCAAAATGATTGGAGCTGCTATTGCTTTGCACGTTTCCCAGGTGCCTATTCACTTTCTATCCGTGACTGGGATGATATGAAAGGAGACCACGTCAAGCATTATAAAATTCGCAAACTTGACAACGGTGGATACTATATTACCACCCGGGCCCAGTTCGAAACCCTTCAGCAGCTTGTACAACATTACTCAGGTAAGGTAAATTCTACCTGGCCACTAACCATCTGGATGCTGGAGGGAGGGGAGTGGGCATAGAGTGGGAGAGGGGAAAGTGGTACAGCAAATATATTGCAAAGGCACTTGGAAAATAGTCTTCTTTGCTAGGCTCTCAAGATGAGGCTTGGCCGAATAGGTTCTGTCACTATTTTTACCTTCACAGTTATTGTTAGTTCCAAATGTTTGTCAAAATACAGGCCATTCTCGTTCCCCAACTCGAAAGCAGTAGGTTAAGTTCTAACAGCTGTTTGTTTTTTTGTCTTCGTCTTTAAATCCTCGGAAGTTATCTCTTCCTGCTCCCCTGCAGCATATACAGTTTGGAAACTGTGAAAGGAAGAGGGTGTGGTCTCCAGGGGAACTCCATCCATGGGGCCTCCTAGAGGGAGTGGTGTGTTCCTACCATCACTTCCCACTCAGCGGGAAGGGCTGCACATACATACACTAGACGACTTTCACCATCCATTTGTCATGTTCTACTTCCCCACCAATGCTTCCGTTTACTAACTAGACTTAGACGTATATGACCCACAGCTCCTAGAGCTGTTACAGCTATTGTATTAAATTAAACTTTTAAACAGTAGATCAATCTCTGTCCTAACACCCAGACATCACCATCAGTCTGTTGTTCCTAGAAACATACAATTATTAGGTGTTCAGGTGTGTGATTTGTATATTTTATTAAAGAGGGTGATTGTACATGCAGTTGTTAAAATGATTGCTTTCTTTCCTAGATTAGCAAGTCAAGCCCACTATATCAATATATACACACCAGTGGATAGACATATGCATGTCCAGATAGAGGTCTATAACCCAGTAGTTTTTATGTGACCCATATGTACATTTTCTGTTATTCTTCAGGGTAATGACAAGACTCCAAAATACTACATGGCTTGACTTCCACTATTGCTCTATGCTCATTCATTTAAAAATACATGTGTATAATTTTTTAGCACCAAAAAAGGCTGTTTTTTTAAAATGGCACTAAGAAATATCTGTCTATTGATCCTGGGCACTAAAGAGCAAATGAAAAATATTAACAACACTTGGCAAGCTTGTTGATTAGGGGAGGGGGTCACTTTCATTGGTGTGGATTCTAATGAAATACTTAAGAGAAATGAAGCAAAATATCTCCCTGAGATTAAATGATGTGCTCAAAATGCCCGCATGTTGTAAGGATCTCTCAAATGCCTAAATATATTTCATTACAACCAGACATCAGCTGGATCCCCAGGGCTTGGATCATTTGAAAATATTGTGTTGGAAAGGGCACCTTAATAACATCATAAAGCTGGAAGGAGAGAAGGGATGTGAGGAGCAAGAGACACTTTTTAATCTCTAAAAAAAAAATCCATCTCGAGACAGATTTGTTTTTATATTGGCTTCTCCCCTTGCCTCTTTCTCTCCCTCACACAATAAAATGCCTTTGAAATATTGACGCATAAGTAATTTCCTGCCTAAATGTCTGAGAACCTGATTCTATCAAAAAGAAAGGAATAAAAAGGAACTTGCAGCCGGTTCCTGGAGCAAAGGCAACAGTGCTACATCCTGTGTCCCTGGAGTAGGGGGGGCCTCCCGTGGGGTGTGGCCAGCGGGGCTCCGTCCCACCTCCAGCCAGGCTCTCTGCAGCTTTTGTCACCGCCCTGAGTCCCTGTCCATTGTCACCTTTCTCACCTGACCGATGTTTAGCTTGGCATTTAGACAATTTCTCCTTACCGCTGCTAGAGTCTAAAGGGCTTTTTCTTTAAGGAGAAAGAGAAGAAAAGGGAAAAATCCTCCAAATAACCTATAAGTGATAATGACTTTTTTCTTTCCTCTTATTCATAGGAAATAGAGTTCTCTCACATCCTTGAGTTTCTGCAAATTTTAGTTCCCATTCTTTCTCCTTTCAAACCAGACTCCTAAATTATACATCGGAGACTGTTATAAAGATTTTTTTTAATGGAAGATTTCAAAGAAGCAAGAGTAGCTGACTGGTAGAATAGAGTCAGTTCAAATTGTCAGAGAAATCACTAGAGAAATGGGACCTCTTTTTTCCCTCACCAGGTGTAACCTCCAGCCTTACTAGTTTATAACAGTCTAACGTTCTGTGCGAGAAGCCTGTACCGAAGCTACAATTTTAAGTATATTAATAGCAAAGAGAGTCCCCACGCCCTTGATATGAGACGGCGGCAAAAGACAGTTGTGCTGACAATCTGTGGTCCAAACGTACCTTTTGAAATCACCCGAGGGTATTTGCAGAGTTTCGGAAGACATGTTATTAGCACACGGGGCTGAAAGCATTTTTCTTATTTCGTAAGACCAGACCCCCAAAGCAGCCTGAGTCTGTATCTCTGCATAGACTATACTAGACCTGGGTGTACACAGTCATCGAAGTCCAAAACGTCTTCTGTCCGCCTCCAGCGAGCACGCTTCAGTGTGTGGTGTCTCGTCTCCCAGCACGTGTGTGGTTCTCTGCTGATGCAGCACTGTGCGGAGGCGCCCCGTGCGCTGACCGGGTGTGTGCCCCTGTGAGTGTCGCTGTTTCACGTGTCTGCTTTTCTCTTCCTCTCCTGCCACCGTCCTCGCTCCGTCAGAGAGAGCCGCCGGCCTCTGCTGTCGTCTAGTCGTTCCCTGTCACAAAGGGATGCCGCGGCTTACCGATCTGTCGGTCAAAACCAAAGATGTCTGGGAAATCCCTCGAGAATCCCTGCAGTTGATCAAGAGACTGGGAAATGGGCAGTTTGGGGAAGTATGGATGGGTATGCCAAGACTCAATTACTCTACTACTAGCTTTCTTGTTTGGGGAAGTCCCAAACATCGAAGATGGAAGGTGAAAATAAAGACTTTTATTGGCCAGGAGGAGAATATGAATGACGAATGATTTGGATTTTGATTTCAGAATTCTGGTTAAGACTGGCAGATGGCTCAAATGATACTATTATGTGAGCCTCAATTCATAAACCAGGAAATGGTACAAGGAATATTCTAGACTGCACCAAATGCCTTCATTTCCAACAGAAAATGTTGGTAGAATGAACAGTGTCGCCCTAAAGGGCCCATCACCTCCCATCTTTTCTAGTGCATGCATGATTATGGATTATAAGGACTGTGTTTTCTTTATTAATTCCCTTTCCTGTAGAGAAAGCTGATGGTTTGTGTTTTAACTTAACTGTGATTGCATCGAGTTGTACCCCACAAACTTCTGGATTGTCTAAAGATGCTTGGGAAGTTGCACGTGATTCCCTGTGTCTGGAGAAGAAGCTGGGTCAGGGGTGTTTCGCTGAAGTGTGGCTTGGTAAGGCAGAGGGCACATTTTGTTTTGGCTGCATCTCAAGGCCAGCTAAGAGGCAGTTTTGAACACACACACACACAGCTGGTGGGACCAAGATGCTTGACCTGGATGGCTAGATGTGCACAGGCCGTTCAGGTTATTCCCCTTCACGTGGTTAACTAAGGCACACAGAACAGAAAACCAGTACAGTAAGAATCTGATGTTGCCTCTTCCTAAGACACGGGAAGGTAAGATTCTATAGATGGACTAATGTAGGAAAAGACCATGGGCTTTTTTCCTCAGTAGCCTCGATTTAGATCTTTTCCAGCTGATTAACCATGGGCACAGGGCTTATTTCATCTCTTTGAACCTCAGTTACCTCATCTGTGAAACTGAAATAATACCTGCTTCATAGGATTACCTTGAGGGTGATATGGCATAGTATTTTTCGATGGCATATGGCAGGTACTCAGTAAACACGCATTCTTCTCTCAATTTGGTTGTCTTTGGTCAGGCCAACCGCACTGGCCTTCCCCACTGCTTTAAAACACCCTGAAACATCTGTCAGTAAGGTCATGTTGGTGCTTATGGAATCCAGCTTCTTACTTTCTTAGATTCAATTAAAAGCAACATTATTGAAAAGCATAGATTGGTACCTGTTGATTTGTGTGGGTGTAGGTACTTAGGTGTGATCTGCATTAAAAGATTTAATGCAGTTAAAGCACTTAGAATGGAACCTGACAACTAGTAAGTACTACATATAGAGAGAGGGAGAGAGGGGGAGAAACACACACTCAGATATACACGTGGACATGTGTATGCATATGCCATTATAGTAAGTATATCATTATATGTAGTAAGTGTTATCATTATTAATATAATCACTTTCCCAGTCAATTTATTGTGTCTCTCTCTATCTGGAATCTAACTCTCATGTTGTATTTATATGGCCTTACACTCCCTTATCCACCCAATTTATAGTTAGATTTGTGGGTCCTAAGGGTTTCAATACAGTCATATATAAAATCAGGAAAAATTAAACTCTGTACAAAAATTTATTTTCAAACGTTATAGTTGCCAATTTTATATCGTTATACATGCTGTTATGTTTTCCCCTGAATGTGAAACATCATGTCGAGGTAGTTCAGGATCAGGATGGAAAGTTATCTAGGTAACCAAGTGATATTAGAGAGGATAATCTCACTGTTAAAATTTCAGGGGTGCTAAAACACTCACACAGACCACTTACTAGTTGTCAGATTTCCCATTTGTGTTTAGTGGTCAGTTTTCTATAAGATTTCAATGAACTTTTTTAAGCCACTTATCCTTTGATAATTTACATTTTTATAGGTTGCATGTTGTGATTATATGAACCATGTTTTTAAGAGGGTAACAAGACTTGTTCCAATTTATAGAATTTTTTAGTTCTAGGATTAATTATATTAAGTATAAAGTTAATTTAAACCAGCCTTCATTTCCAAATAGAAATTGATATAATCTGACTTAGTAGATTTTTCAGTTTACCTTATAGTTTTAATTCAGTCATAGGACTGATAATGGATACACATAGGATTTAGTGGGGTTTTTTAAAATTTTGGTGCTAAAAGAGACTGGAAAGATAATCCAGTTCCATTTCTATATTTTACAGATGAGGTAAATGATGAGGGTCATAAACCAGGCCTGCCTCTGAAACTCCTAGATTATTTTACACATGTGAAGTTTTAAATATTTCTTTTCCCTCTTAGCTGCTGTTTAATTTTTCCAGTCTAATAGAAACCATTGTTCTTGTGGCTGACCATCAGTAAGCTTGAGGAATTTTCTTTTCCTGGTTGAAGTATTGGCAAGTAGACCAAGAGCGTCTTGCCAATACTTCTCAGCACATTTAGCTCAACTTCTCAAGGACTCAGTCAAGTAGCTCATCCCTTGCTGACAACTGAAAGTCTAGAGGTAATTTCCAAACTTCCTTAGTGTGATATCATATATTTTAAAATGGCACACTCCAGAAAATAGGACTTAATCTCGTTTCTTCCATGCTCATCCTCCTGTCTAAGGGACGGCTATTGGATGGCCATTGAAGGCCAGTCATGTTCTAACCCCTAGATGCTCATCCTTATAAAGAAGTATCCAGAAAGTACTAATGATCTAATGTACTACATGATAAGTAAATATAATTAACATCCTGTATATTATCTATGAAAATTGTATAGGGGATAAATCCCAAGAGTTCTGATCACAAGAAGAAAATTTATTTCTTTTTAATTTTGTATCTGTCTGAGATGATGGATTTCACTAAACTTAACTGTGATAGTCACTCCATGATGTATGTAAATTAAATCATTATGCTTTACACCTTAAACTTATACAGTGCCATATGTCAATCATATCTCAAAAACTACTAGAAGGAAAAACAAATGAAGTATCCAGAGCTTTTGATACAAATTTGTAATCACATGGCTGAACCAGAAAAGAAAAGTGATATATATCAAAATACGAAAAATTTTTAAAGAATTCTAAACCATGATATAGCCTGTAAGTAAACACATTTTTTCCTGTTGAAAATACTCGACAGAGTCCTTGTATTTGATTGTCTTTGTTCAACAACAACAACAAAAAAAAACTCTATTAAGTTTTTTTTTTACTTAAAATCTAACTTTATGCAAATAGCTATTCATTACAAAAAGTTTTTTTCCCATCCAAAGAGGATCTTTGGTTTGACTTAATATTGTGGGGGTGTCTGCAGGTACCTGGAATGGAAACACAAAAGTAGCCATAAAGACTCTTAAACCAGGCACAATGTCCCCTGAATCATTCCTTGAGGAGGCGCAGATCATGAAGAAGTTGAAGCACGACAAACTGGTCCAGCTATATGCCGTGGTGTCCGAAGAGCCCATCTACATCGTCACCGAGTATATGAATAAAGGTTGGACTGGGCCTCTCGGGCTCCCCCTCACAGGGACCTGCAGGCTTGTCTCAGGGAGGGGAACGGAGCTGCCTACCTGCTTTTCCCCTCCTTCCCCCATGAGTCAAGCATTCTTTGCCAGGAAGCACAGACTATGTGCTCACCGGTGAAAATGTTGTATGAAGAGACAGTGACCTTGAGTTTGACCCCCAGACTCCTTTGCATGCTTTTGCACATATCGGGATTCCCAGCTCCTCTCCATAATTAAAGTAATTCATTTCTAGTATAGGAGTGACCAGTGCATGCGTGTGTAGTCGTGTCCGACTCTTTGCAACCCCATGGATTGTAGCCCGCCAGGCTCCTCGTCCATGGGCTTTTCCAGGCAAGAATACTGGAATGGGTTGCCATTGATACGGGGGGCTATAAAAGTTTGCTGTTATTTGAAATGCCACAGCTTATGTTAAAAATTAAATTTTTTTCAAAGATATGAGGCTATGCAGTTTTCAGATATTCATTTCTCCTGCCTCATTCCCACCACCCTTGTCTGTCTTGAGTCCCCCACTCAGGACACCACAACCTTGACCATGTTGGAAACCCTTATCAAGGGTGAGTTTTTTTAAACCACATCAGTTCAAAGCTAATTTGTTTTGCAGTAAAATTTTGTTTGAAAATGCCTTTTTGTGTACAGAAACATAAAGGTAAGAAATTGTGTTATGAAAGGTTTTGTGGCATACATAGCTTAACCATCTTAATAATAAATTACTTTCTTACAAATTTTTTAAAAATGTTTCTGCAAGGCTGAACAGTTAACATCAGACACTTAGCTCTGGGTTAAGTATAGCCTCTATCTTTGCAACATCTTTTTTTTTTTCCTTCAGCTCTCTTCTTAAACATCCAATGTAGAAAGACATGCTTTTAAAGAGCACATTATTTTCTCATTCTTTTTCTCTCTCTCTTTGTCTTTCTAATCAAAGCAATATTGTTGGGGATAAGACCACAGATCACTTTGTTTTGGAAAAATAGTTGAACCAAACAAGAAACAGCCTTAAAAGGCAGTGCATTGTACATCAGATGACGCCAGTACAATTTTTCCCTTTCCACGTACTTTCTATTAAAATATATTTGGAATTATTCCCTGGCAGATTGTTTGTCCTTTGTATTTGGTTATTTGGTAAATAACTTTGTGATTAAAGCATGAAAAAAAAAAAAAAAATACCAGTGATCACATGAACCTCCAGCCTCTGCCCGTGATTGCTTCAGCCCCAGTGTTCATTCTGAGCTCCTTAGGTGGAGTCATCACACTGGCTCTGAAGTGCCAACCTTTGGTTTCAGGTATCTTTCAAGGCCTAATTGGCCATGATCTAATGTGATGAGCCACCTACCCCAACCGTATATTCCTCAGATACCCTTTTCTTGATTTAACAATTTGTCAATAAGCTGAGCCAGTGATTGTACACTTTACTATATGTCAGAATCACCTAATACAGGGGTCCCCAACCTTTGAGAGCTAATGCCTGATGATCTTAGGTGGAACTGATGTAATAATAATAGAAATAAAGTGCACAATAAATGGAATGTGCTTGAATCATCCCTAAAGCATCTACCACCCCCAAGTCCACGGAAAAATTGTCTTCAAAGAAGCTGGTCCCTGGTACCAAAAAGACTGGGAACCACTGATCTAACGGGCTTCTAAAGTTTCTGAGCCAGACCTCCCAAACTTCTGTTTCTGTAGATGTGGGGTGGGGTCTGAGAGTTTGTGTTTCCAACTAGTTCCCTAGGGGTTGCTGTTCTTGCTGGTCCGGGACCACATTTTGGGAACCACTCAGCTGGGCACTGTTTTCTCCACATAACTCTTGTGCGGGACTGATTGGGAATGAAATTGAAGTGGTGCAGCCCTTAATCTCATTTAAGGCTGCTTCTTATGACATGAAGTCCCATTTCTTCTAGCTTCATCCCATTTTTGTTGTCCTTAGAATTGGGAGTCGCCATTGTTTACTTTTAAAAGGTAAAACTGCAGCCTCCAATGCATAGGTTTTTTTTCTGCCCAGTTTTTATGTGTGAACCTTTTTTTCACTGACAGCCTCATTTCATCTGATTACCTCATTACTTCTAGTAAGAAAACCAAATACACCCCTTCGTTGGGAATTTTTACCTTTCAAAGGAAATCAAAATGACCTTATGTTTTGTTCATAGGAAGTTTACTCGATTTCTTAAAAGATGGAGAAGGGAGAGCTCTGAAATTACCAAACCTCGTGGACATGGCAGCACAGGTAGGCCCTCGACTCCTGCCTTAGACTTACCAGCGGGTGAGTGCGTGGAGCCGCGTGCAATGTGCATTTCCTCGGTCTACACAGGTTGCTGCGGGAATGGCGTACATCGAGCGCATGAATTACATCCACAGAGACCTGCGGTCGGCCAACATTCTCGTGGGGAATGGACTAATCTGCAAGATCGCCGACTTCGGATTGGCCAGGTTGATCGAGGACAATGAGTACACGGCAAGACAAGGTGGGCACTTGAATGGGGAAGGCTCATGATCCCATCCTGCATGCCCCTTCCTCCTCCTTCCCTCCCTTCCTCCAGAAAATATTTGGAATGTCATTCTTCAGCTGGGTTTTTCCTTCTTGATCTGGCAGGAATCTGACCACACTGCAGATGGGAGACTGTAGTGGGTTCAGTTGGTGGATGAGATGTTGTATTTTTCATGCGCAAGTGTCCACTGATGTCCTCCTGGCTTGTGCCACCCTCGTGCCTGCATCCAGGGCTGGGGACCCTCTGCCTTTTGAGGAGAGGGTGTGGAAGGCCAGGAGAGCAGTCAGGAAGCCACTCATCATTCCATCAGAGTCTCAGCCAAAACAGAAGGCACTCTCCTTGGGGAATTTAATAAAGGAGTTACTTGCAACAGCACAGGCAGGGTTTAAGAAAACCAGCAGGGCATGATGCGGCCTCCCAGAGCTTGTAACAGCACCAGAACTAAGAACGAGCAGCGTGCGCGGAGACTACCGCTGGCTGAGACAGGCCGCTGGGGGAGTCACACCCAGGCTCACTCTTCATCCCTCCTGCGGCTCTCCTGCCAAGCCCAATGAGAGCCAGCGGTCAGAGGAGCCACTGACAGTCCAGATGGGCCCCGAGAAGGGAGAAGACAGGTAGAGAGGGGATCTCGAGGGCCAACAGGAGAGAACAGGAGTCACTTGAAAAGCTCCACCTCCTTGAATCATCCCCCTCCCATTCCACCCTCTCAGAAGATTTATAGAAATCAGCCTCCAGATAAAATACATCTCAAACCAGCAGCCACTCCAGTGGGACAACTTTTTGGTTCTTCTAGAGTACCAGATACAGGAGAGGGAATTCCCAGGGTTACTTCCTTTCTTCCTAGAACTTTACGCAGTGGTCAAAGGGTAAATGTGTGGAATTAAGTGTGCAGTTTGCAATCAAACGTAGGCTCCTCATGGCGAACATAACACATCTGAAGGAAGGGGGTCAGCTTCGTTGTTGCTGTTCTTAACCAAATCATTCTGAGTGAGCAAGGCTGAGCAATGACTGGAATAGGTTACAGAGCAGTGTTATCTCCTGGAGGTTATAATGGTTAGCTCTGCAGTTCTTCTTTCTCAGCTTCCTTTTTAATTCTTTCATTTCATGCCAGTTCTTCCCTCCTTTTATCCTTCTTGGCAGTCTCAAGTGATGAGGGGAAAAAAATGCTAAACTAAGACCCTGCCTCGTTCAGATACTGTCCAAAGGCTAAATTACATGTTGGTCAGACAGCTCGGCTATTTGAATTTCCCCAACATGTGGCAGTTCTTGTCCTGGAGCCAAAGGCCGACACATTGAGCATGCCCATTCATCACACACATGCACACATGCATATGCACGCGTGCACGCGCACACACACACACTCACAGTGCAGGGCCAGATGGTATGCCGTATCACTAATCAAAGGCATGTGGGCAGCTTTGATTGGCGCCGCAGTCCTGAGAGGACTGTGGGCACGATTTTGAGTCAAGGTGAGCTGAGAGGGTCTGAAGTGCCCCCGGGTCTAAGACCTGGCCCTAAATGAGAGTTTACCCTGAGGCAAACCTGTCAGATCCCAGATCACAGACCCAGAAGGAGAGGCGAGCGGGTGAGGGTTGAGAGACATGAATCTTTAGTTTCAGAAGGGGTGAGTCGTGTCAGCATCCTTCCGTGTGTGAGTGTTTGGGGGCTGGAGGGAGCAGTTCAGGATTTGTTTCTCCCATTCCCCCCAGGCTCTGGACTGTCTGGAATTTGTCATTAGCACCCTTGGGTCATCAGTAAGTGAGAACGTTGCAGGGCCTGAACCCCCAGCATGCTGTCAGGGGTGCTGTTGACAGGGCTGGGTATTTAGTTCATGGGGTGAGATGCCCAGGCTGTGGCCCTGGGTGATTGGCGTCTGGGGGAAGGCATGTCAAGAGCCCTCGCTGCAGTCCCCTCAAAGCCTGCTGCTGCTGTGGACCAGAGCTGTATAGCTGCCCTCAGCCCCAGCCCTCCGGTCCTGCCTTCCTCCTGATTGTCTTTCTGGTGGCATCCTCACCACCTCCATCACCTTCCCAGATGGTGTCCTGATGCCCTTCAGAGGGTCAACGTCACACCCTTAGTTTCCAAATAGTATACTCCACCCTTCCCTCTTCCAATTCTTTTTTCTTCTCTCTTCCCTTTTACAAGTATCTTCTGTGTGCTAAGTCGCTTCAGTCATGTCCGACTCTTTGCAAACCTATGGACTAGAGAATTAAACTGGGGAGAAAAAAACAAAGACTGGGGCCCTGGGATTTGCCAAGAGAATAACAGAAATGTTGCAACAGAGGACAAAGAAGGAGCAGGGGTGTTTATAGGACACCTACCCAGTGCCAGGTCCAAGGAGGCAAATGTGAGGAGTGGAGTGGGGAAGATAGATCGAGGCTCAGAGAGGCTGAGTAACAGACAGAGTCACACAGCTCGTAAAAGGGCAGAGGCAGGATTTGGATTCAGGCATGGCTGGTCCTGTCGCATCCACCCTCTTATGCTGTGCTGACTGCCTCTCATCAGGACAGTGATTAAAAAAAGAGAAAAAAAATTGAGAGGATTAGTCATAAGCTCCTTTTCCTCTTTATTTTATAGAAGAGCTTTTAAGAGGCACCTTCTAAAGTGCATGTGAGGGGAGTTGGAAGCCCTTCATCTGCCAGCTCCAGGCCAGCCCAGCTGTTTACAGAACAGCTCCAGAGGGTCTGTACTGTGCCCAGGCCGCTTCATGAGGCAGGAGGGGCCCAGTGTACATCCTCTGGTGTGTTCTGCAGATGGCATGCGTGCTTCATGCTGAAGTTTCTGCAGGGAATTAGTCAGTTCTTCCAGACAGCTGCTCCGTGTGCCCGAAAATATTTACAAGTCCGGTTTATGTTCCCCACAGGCCTCAGCCAGGCCGCATCTTGTTTATGGAAGCGTGGGCAGTGTTGAGAAGTGTGTGCCGATCACAGGTATTTTCAGACTGTGGGTAGACTGTTGTTTCTCAACACAGTAGTGAGGTTCCCAGCTAAGGGCTCGCTGAAATGTCTCTCCCTCCTCCTATCTGGTGGATGAGCTGGCATTTCCCCAGGCACCTGCAGAACTGGATTTGGGAACTGAGTTAAACAGCCACTCATGAGTTCCTTTGTCCTCTCCCTGCCCCACTGGATTGTAAGCAGCAGCCCCGTGTCAGGGAGAAGGTCAAGACCAGGCCCAGAGCCGGGGAGGGTGGTCCTCTGCCAATAGCATTCTGGAGGCAACTAGCAATCACTTGGTATCACTCATTTTCTTACCTCTGCATGTCCCCCAGTGACAGCAGTTAGGTCTTCTGTCCAATCTGGATCTCCAAGTAATGGCAACCGTCATTATTCGAGTGCCCTTCAAAGTGAAGGGGCTTTGATAGGAGCTCCTGAGCTAAAGAAAGCCAAAGACAACCGGGGCAAGCTGCAAAGCATGGAGTCAGATGGGATCTGAAACCCACCCCATCACCCACCAGCTCTGGGCCCTTGGGCACATTACCTAACTTTTCCACACTTTTGCTTGCTTATCTGTAAAGTGAAAACATACTTTCCCTGTTTTGTGCTTTCGTTTTTGCAAAGATTAAGTGAAACAGCACATGTAAATTGTTTAGCACAGTACCTGGCATGGAGCAACTGGTAAACAAAAAGGACTCTTGTTATTCTTTCCTGGACAAGGCTAAGTTCTTGGGGAATAAACAAATTCCAGATTGGCCACAGACACGTGGAAAGACTCAGCCACCATCCGGGAAAGGGAGAGAGGGATCAGAGCTAATTCCCTGTGGTCAGATACGAGTGGTCATAAGGATGAAGTTGCCAGCAACAGGCATGAGTGAGTCAGGAAGAAGGTTTTCCTTTCCAAGAACAAGGGTGAGTTTGGTTTGGTTTGGGATTTGTTGAACTTGAGGTCATTGCGCCGGTACATCCGAGTTTGATGTCCAAGTGCAGAGGTCAGTGGGGTGCCCTCACCTGGGCCCACAGCCACGGGTCCTCACCTCCGAGCACTCCGCCCCACGTCACCACCCCTCAGCCAGCCATGGCTTCTCACCCCCATGCTGCCTGCACCCCCCGCTTGAGGTCTGATCACAGCCCCTCCTGCCTCTAGTCCCCCAGAGGTCACACACAGACAGACCATATGAGAAGTCTTGAAAAATTTTTTCTTGAAAAAAAGTTTCTTCCTGAGCTTTTAGGAAGCTCAGTGCTGACTGATAACTGATTTAAACCTAACAAGCTCAGATAGACCTGGCTTATGTATCAGAATGATTTGCTTTTGTGGACGCATTTGTTTTTAATGTTTGTTTTTATGTCATAACATATGTACAAGAAAATGAATAAGTCTGAAGTATACAACTCAGGGAATTTTTACATATGGGGGTGCCCTTGAAATTACCCACAGATGAAGATACAAATGTTGCCAGCCCCCTAGAGACCACCTCATCCCCTTCCCGACAGTCAGCACTCCCTAAAGTAGCCACTATTTTACCTGTCACCAGAGATTCCTTTTCCCTGTAACTGAACTTCATATAAACAAACCATTCAGTATCAGTCTTTTGTGTCTAGTTTCTTTTGCGTCATAAGTGAGATTCATCCATATTGCTACATAGAACAGTAGGTCTTTCCTTTTCTTTGCTGAGTAGTATTCCATTTACAGATAGATCCATGTATCCATTCTCCTAATATTTCTAACTGGGAGTCTTTATGAAATTAGCTGCTGTGGTGGTGGTGATGTCCTCCTATCTCCTGGGTGTAGTCCTAGTAGTGGAATTGTTGGTCTTAGGGCAGACCTGTACTGCCCAGCAGGTTTTTGTTGTTGTTGTTGTTTGGGTTTTTTTTTTTTGCCCAGCAGGTTTTGTGGCCTTATCTTTAAAGATAGAATACACAGTCACTGTGTTGTATAGATGTTTTACTTCTCCTTAGGCTGCTAAGGCAGCCTGGGGAGGCTGTGGAAGCTGTGGCTGGCAGTCAGGAAGCCCGAGTTTGAACTAGCTGTCTCTTACAAAG